GCTGGTTTTATGATAGACTTGTGTTTCTAATTTGCCATCACTGGCAAAATAGCCAGGAAGGATAGTGTGGTGTTGTTTTCTACTTTTTTTAGTGGATTTTATTCCTTTGAAGATGCTGTTGATGATTTCATGTATATTCTCTGATTGGTCCTTTTTTATTATGACAATTGTGTTATCTATGTATTGGATACATACTTTGGGTTGTATGCATGGGAATGCTACAGACTCCAGGTGTTGCATTACAGTCTCTCCTATTAGTCCTGAAAGTGATGGTGCCATAAGTCTTCCTTAGATTTGTTGATATATTTGTCCATTGAACTGAAAGTATGTGGTTAGGCAAAAGTTGATAAGATCCATGATTGTGGATATTTCAGTCTTGGTGTATTTGGTTAGGTCAGGTGTGTTATGTAGTAGTGCAGTCATGTATCTTTGGCTATTTCTGGTTCTTTGGGTGCAAAAATTGTTGTGCTATCAAATGAGACCATGATTTCATCTTCATCTATTGTCACCTTTTTTTTATTCTTTGGAGAAGCTGTAATAAGGAATTGATGGAGTATCTGCTTCCCTCTGTAATGTGTTCAAGCTTTTTTGTCAATTCTTTAGCAATGCTGTGGGTTGGAGTCCCTAATAATGAAACAATTGTACAGAAAGCAGGGGTGAAATCCAGCAGGTTCTGGAGAACCGGTAGCGGAAATTTTGAGTAGTTCAGAGAACTGGCAAATACCACCTCTGGCTGGCCCCAGAGTGGGGAGGGAATGAGGATTTTGCAGTATCCTTCCCCTGCATGCCCACCAAGCCACACCCACAGAACCGGTAGTAAAAAAATTTAGATTTCACCACTGACAGAAAGGTATATCTGGGCTGTGTGTTTTGGGGTATCAATAGAAGTGTGAGGGATGGGTCCACTGCTACAGACATTCTCTTCTATTGGAAACAAATTTAAAAACCAGGGAAAAAGTTTAATTCACTTTAATTTTGCTGCCAAGTGAGTTTTAATGAATAACTTCTGAACTGCTTCTTGAGGCAGATCTGCGAAAATCACTGACACTGGCAAGATGGGTGGCACAACAGTTTAATAAATAAAATTATCTTTGCATTCTATTCTAATGCTTGCACTTAACAATATAAAGATTGGTTATGAATCTGCATTGTGTATCTTAAAAATCTCACAACACAAGGACCAATAGGCCTGGTCCTTTGTCCTGAATAGAAACAGAAGTCCATATTATAAGCAATTTCTAGGTTTTTTTTAAAAAAAAGTATACATTCATTTGTAAACTATAAATGCTCAATGTCACAATGCATAATTAAAAATAATCTATACATACTCTTTAGACACATCACTTTATTTTTGTTTACTCTCAACACTGTTTGAAAATCCATGGCACACTGTTTATCAGGATTTTGAAGATGAATGGTTCATTTTCCATGTGAAGAATACTAAAGTTTTTTAACTTCGATATTTTTTCCTCCAAGATATAAAATTTCCGCTTTATCTAAAAAAAATTCAGTTTCATTTCATCTAGTGCAGTTTTTAACTGTGTAAATTCCATCATTTTAAAGGAGTATAAATCCTGAGGGAAAGCATTTAAAGTAATACGCAACTTTGCATGATTGGTTTCTTTGCTACTTTCTCTTATTCGGAAATAAGTGTAGTAGAGGTTGCCAGTTGATCTGAGGAATTCTCTGTTTATCAAATAAGTTATAAAGTAATCAAAGATGAGGGACAGACCTTTAATCATTCAGATTACTGTGCTTGGAAAATCCTTGTGTCATAATACTAATCACTAGTCAGCGAATTTCCCTTTTAAATGCTTTGCAATATATGAATATATTGCTCTTCAATGGAATAGAATGTACTGAAGTTCATGTTACATAATATACATGGGAAATAAAACAATTATATTTCATTTCCAAAGGTCAACTGAAACAAAGTATGTTTGCTTATCTGAAAAAGCCAGGAACAATGCTAATTACCTGCAAAAAAAAAAGGTTCCCAAGATAAGGAAACTAAAATATGCTGCTCAAAAAAATAAAGGGAACACAAGCAGAAGATATCCAAGATCTGAATGAATGAAATAGCCTTATTAAATACTTTGTTCTTTACATACAGTAGTTTATACACTGCTGAAATAACTAAAGGGAACACAAAACTACTGTATGTAATGAACAAAGTATTTAATAAGGCTATTTCATTCATTCAGATCTTGGATATCTTCTGCTTGTGTTCCCTTTATTTTTTTGAGAAGTGTATATTGGGAGAAGAGAGATCGTTGTAAAGGAAGAAGCTGCTATAGGGAGGTAGACACTGTAGACTCAACAATTGGGAAAGATTGCGGCTTTAGTTTTTATGCAGCAAGTACTTCTGATGAAATAAACATCCTGAGGTATTCTGAAATGAAAGCTAGCAAAAAAAAAAAAAAAAACAGTGTGGAGAAGATGTGGGATTATTGCCAGTGGTAAATCATATCTAGATTTTTTTCGCCCCAGCCCTGAAAAATGTGATGTTTGAGGCAAGGTGATTTACATAGGAGAAATCTTTCTAAAAGCACCCTTAATTACAGATTTGCTGCTTCCTCTGACTGTAGTTCAGATAAGATAAGGTAGTAAGATATTCCTCCTCAGCTGGATGATTGGGTCTTCTGGATATGTGGATTTCAACTCACTGACTTCTCAGCAAGGGAGCTGCTGGCTAGAAACTTGATGCCCATTCATGTGGAAAGTGCCAAGGTTGAGGAAAGCAAATATATGTGGAGAATGTAGTAGAGATGGACTACAAGAGGAGTTTCCTTTGCTTAAGAGACCTTGCAGATAGCCAAAAAACATTAATAAACCCTGAAGAACAATGATAAAACTATGAGCAATCAAAAAAGGCTGGAGTGGAAGCATGTTGTCTGGAACAACCAGATAGGCTAGCTGGCTTCATGTCTCATTATTCACCACAAGTGATGGGTGAGTCTTACATAACAAGGCGAGCTTTTAAATTATGACGTACCTCAACATTTAGTATAACATCTCTCAGAGAAGAGGTTCAAGTATAAGCACACAATACACCTATTGTCTGAGAAGTTAATTAAATGAAAAGTTTTCCAAATTGCATTTTTGTTGTGGTTGCCGTTGAAGCTGCAGCAAATCACGAAGTCGTGGCTTCTCTTGCCGTTAAAAAGTCTACGATGGCTTTTTAGCAGAGGAAGCTAATCCAGTCATATCATACATGCAATCATAGAATGGCAGAAAGTTGTTATTGACACTGAGATCAGACAAACTACTGTTGATACTTTTCAAATGGGGTTCAAATATATATGCTGCGTTGACATATACTGGGGATTATTAGGAAAAGTTCTACAGATTGTGTCAATAGGCTCTTAACAGATATTGGCTGAGAAAGCAAATGTTACGTGTGGTTATGTACAATACACAGAAGTAACACTAAACCAATTCACAATTTGTTGGTCCTTTTAAGATGTCAGATAGGAATGATTCACTACGGAAGACTGATAAAATCATTATAAAACTTTTCACAGCAGTTGTTTAAATACCTGCAGTTGCCACTATAACGAGGGAAATTTACAGCTGCCAAATATTGTGTGCTACTTACATAACTCATACTGATTTCGAAATACTTAAAACATTGGTGGCCGGGGAAGGGACAGCAAGTTAAGCCCAAAGCTTTCCTAAGATGAGAAGGTTTTTGACTGCAAGCTACATTTGTAAAAGATATTTCAGAACTGGGCCAACTGAGTCAGTTAATTTTCCTTCCTTTCACAATACAGGATCATAAATTGACAAATAACGAAACAAATACTGAAAGGGGTGTGAGGTTTTTCTTTAGGCCCAGAAAAAAAGAAAAAAAAGAAAAGGAAGTAGAACCTTCATTTAGGGGCCAGAAACGTCCCAAATGGCTTAAGAATTTAAATAACTTTTCAAAGGGGCATATTTTTAACTAAGGTACCAAAAGGCAACTTCCTAAAATTAAAAGAGACCAATACACAAGCGCATCTGGTTCCCAAACTCAGCTGCTTTAGTATTTATTTTTTTTTATTTTATTTTATTAAAATTTATATGCCGCCCTTCTCCCGAAGGACTCGGGGCGGCTCACAAGTACAAAATGACAATAAAAACAATATCACTAAATAGCATTAAAAATCCAATTTAAAATCCCACAGTTAACTAAAAAACCCAACCAGATCAGGTGAGTTGAGTTGAGTAAAAAGCCAGGTCTTAAGATCTTTGCGGAAGGAACGGAGATCAGGGGCTGTCCGGAGCACGGTGGGTAATTCATTCCAGAGGGTTGGTGCGGCCACCGAGAACACCCTCAATCTGGGGGCCACCAGCTGACATTGTCTGGCCAATGGCACCCGGAGGACGGCAGCCCTATGTAACCACACTGGGCGGTGGGAGGCCGGTAGGAGGTGGTCCCGGGCCCGTGCCATGTAGGGCTTTATAGGCGAGAGCCAGCACCTTGAAGTGGATCCGAAAGGCCACCGGCAGCCAGTGCAGCTCGCGCAGTATATACTGGAGTTGTGTGTTTGGTACTTGTGTCAGTGTTGATTCCTTGTCCAATTGCTGGACAAGTCCCTGCAGTTTTCTTCTAATCCCCCCCCCCCAAAAAAAAGATTTCAAATGTTGCCTTAGTTAGGTCTCTTTTTTCAAAGGATCCCTTTTGAGATCTCCTGGACCTTGAAAGTTAAAGGAGGTGACAGTTCAGCACTTTGCACATGCCCAGCAGCAACGCACTTTCCAAGGACCAGGGTGGCTCACCCCCTCCTTCAACAGGGTTGGGGTGGCTCAGTGGCTAAGACTCCGAGGTTGTCGGTCAGAAAGGTCGGCCAGTTCGACGGTTCGAATCTCTAGTGCAGGTCTCCTGCGTGAGCAGGGGGTCGGGCTAGATGACCTCCAAGGTCCCTTCCTCTAAAGTCCCTGACTTTAAAAGCTTGCTCCCCCCCCTCCACCCCCACCTTTTGCCACGGATGCCGGAGAGGTCACCGGCGGCCACTCACCTTGCCCCCTGCGCAGCTGCGGCTCCAAGCTCCGCCACGCCAAGAGCCCCAGCTCCCGGTCTAAGGTGACCTCCTGGGCGCGCTGCTCCAGCACCAGCAAGGAGATGAGCTGGGTCCGCCGGCCAGCCGGAATGGACCGCTCGCCCATGGCTCTTCAGTGACCCGGCGTCCTTGGATTAGGCGACATGATTGTGGCGGGGGCCGCTCAGTCCGGGGCTGGGCGAGCGTTTGCCGCCCCGCCGCTGCCGCCGCCACAGGGGCGGCCGGGTTAAGTCCGCCCGTCGGATGTTTCAGAATCTGTTATCCTCCAGAATTTGCAGCTCCGCGCGCAGGGAGCATGCGCGAGGAAGGGTTTTGCGCACGCTCAGAAACGGCCTCGGGTCTCTAACGCGGCGCCCTCAGGGGCCGCCAGAAGAAGGCGAAAGTCGGGATGGGGTTGAGGGATATTGCGGAGCGGGGTGGATCGGCCCAGCCTGATTTCCCCGCTCCTCCTCCTCTGGCTGGGAGCTGACCTTGCTCCCGTCTGCAAAGCCGGCCAGCCTCGGGCTTAGAGTGGGAAAAGTGCTGCCGTCGTCGTCGTCGTCTCCGCCGCCGCCCTCATGCCAAGTGGGCGGTTGCAAAACGCCTCGAGCCAAGTTGGCACTGAAGTGCCACGCCAGAGCGACCCCTTAAGCTCTTTCGGGCTGGCGAGACGAGTTTCGCTTCCTTGCCATTTTCTATTTATAAGAAGAGATAGGCCAACCATTTGTCTGAAATGAATCTCCAACCTTGGCAACTTTAAGCCTGGTAGACTTCAACTCCCAGAATTCCCCAGCCAGCTTTGCAAAGAATTCCCCAGCAAAGCTGGCTGGGGAATTCTGGGAGTTGAAGTCCACCAGGCTTAAAGTTGGCAAGGTTGGAGACCCCTGGTATAGGATCTCCTGCTTGAGCAGGGTTGGACTAGAAGACCTCCAAGGTCCCGTCCCTGTCCTAATGTTCCTTTTAATTGTATTCATTTTATGTATTCAATTCATGCTTATATGTATTATCTAATATGTACTCGATAAAATAAAAAAATAAATAAAAATAAAAAATAAATAAACTCTTGTTATTCTTCTGTTTCATAGGTGACCTTGCACTTGGCTGGTTTCTTCATCCAGCCATCGAGGATTGGGCCCTTTAAACGTTCCCTTAAAACAGGCTTCTCTGTCAGGTGGTTGTTTTTTGTGACAATAAAACAGTTGTGTATTGACAATAAAGGTTTGATATGATTTTGATTTTAAATCGCAAATCAACCCTCTCTAGTCGGGAGATTGCAGCCTCTTCCTCCCTCAGCTTAAGTCCGGAGAAAACAAGTCGAAAGATGATCTTAACTTTTGCCTCGGCCCTTCTTTCGCATTCGTGGCTCTGACGGATGAGGAGGATGTTTTTGAAAATGGCAAAAATGGGCAACTTTTCAAGGTTGCTTCAGATTTGCTTCCTTTAGCTGTTCAAGGAAGCTGGCAGATGAGACCGAAGCAGAAGTTGGCCCCTGTCCATGTCCTTACAGTGGCAAAAGAAATTGTGGTTGGCAGACAGATGTTAAAAATAGCCGCCGTCCCCAAAGCCTGATTTTGCAAAATGGGAATACAATAGGATGGTGTGTTTGTGTTAGCAAACTAGAAAATAATTAAGTTTGTCATAATTAGTAACATAAGTATTGCTAATCTTTGGATACTCTGCTATTTTTGTTCATATTTTCCTGTTTGGTTTAAAAAAATATTACTTTTGGTGGAAAAATAAAGGAGCCATACTTGTTCCCGAATCTCTTTTAATTTTAAGGAATTCAAAGCTAATGTCCAGCATAATGTATATCCTGTATTTCCAACATGGAGTCAGGGCACCATATAATCCCCAGGGATGTTTTTTAGAAAATTAGATTTTGGCTGGATGCAGCCCGTAGATATGGTTGCCTTCTCCTAAACTCTTGTTTTATGACTGGAGATTTTGTAACAATGATATTGTTTTTGTAACAATATGCTTTCCAAATGTGTGTAATGGCCCCAAAGGTTTGGGGCCCTCTGCAATAGGTCCTAGAATGTAAACACAATATTTTCAAATCTATCAAAAATCTTCCTCCTGAAAGGACAACAGCGGGATCTGAAAGGTTTTGGAAAATAGGGAAATTCTTGCTCCAGGTTTATGAGTTATTCCACTGAATGAAAATAGAGGTATAGTCAGTCAATGATCATTTGTTTAACGAGCATTGAAGTTACATGACAGTACTGAAAAATGTGACTTACAACTGGTCCTCACATTTATAACCATCACAGTGTTCCCCATGGTTGCATGATCAAAATGTGGGTATTTGGCAACCAGAATATAGCCAAGGCGGTGCAGTGGTTAGAGTGCAGCACTGCAGGCTACTTCAGCTGACTGTAAGCTAGCAATTCGGCAGTTCAAATCTCACCAGCTCAAGGTTGACTCAGCCTTCCATCCTTCCGGGGTCGGTAAAATGAGGACCCAGATTGTTGGGGGCAATATGCTGACACTCTAAACCGCTTAGAGAGGACTTTAAAAGCACTATGAAGTGTATATAAGTCTAAGTACTATTGCTAGGTTACATGTGTTCACCTTTTCCAATCTTCTGGCAAGCAAAGTCAATTGGGAAGCCAGATTCTCTCTCTCTCTTTTTTTTAATTTGATTTATATGCCGCCCTTCTCCGGAGACTCAGGGCGGCTTACAATGTGCTCAGCTATAGCCTTCATCCTTTTGTATATTTATACAAAGTCAGCTTATTGCCCCCACAACTGGGTCCTCAATTTACCTACCTTAGAAAGGATGGAAGGCTGAGTCAACCTTGAGCCTTGGCGAGATTTGAACCTGCAGTAATTGCAGGCAGCTGGTCTTAATAACCAGCTTAATAACAGGGTGCCTTAGACCACTGTACTACCAAGGCTCTTAACAACTGTTACTAATTTAACAAATGCAGTGATTGCTTAAAAGCTGTAACAAGAAAAGTCATAAAATGGAGCAAAACTTACTTAACAATTGTTTTGTTTAGCAACAAAATTGTTCAGCTCAGTTGTGGTCGTGTTTAGAACTATCTATACTTACATGCTTTTGAATATGTAATAGCAGAAGTTTTTGTTCTAGAAGAAGAAGGGAGAATGGGTGTGAACCTGAAGATGTTCCCTGCAGAATGCCTTCAAAAGACCAATTCATGCTTTTTTTTTTTTTTTTAGGGAGTTGTGCTTGTCTAATCTCCATCTTTGGAAAAGGCTGAATTGGGGAAACTGCTTGAGAATCAATACATAGTTTTGCTAACTAGGAACATTTTTAGATGTTACACTGAAGAATGATAGATGGAAATTTGGGGAAGTGGGCAGGTTATACCAACCGGAGAATTTTCCAATCTCAAATTATCATTGGTTTTAAAATGAGGTATGCATACACATGGATTAAAATAAAACGAAACTACGCTAACATTAACATTTCCTGACGCTCTTAAAAATGAAGCTAAACTTTGAAGAATTGGTGAATAACAATTCTACCACCTTCATCTAAGAAAACCAGAAATTAAATGTACGTCTGGATGACTTCAATTCCTTGTGTCCCAATCAAAACCATGCTGCAGAAATTACATCTTTCTTGTCTTTTAATGTATGTGAAACTGTTTTTAAAAAGCAAGTGATAGGAAATCACACAAGCAATGGGGATAATAGGGGATTTCAGCAAGCTAAAAGCTGGCTTGTTAACTAATTTTCTGGATTAATGTTTCATGCTGAGCTGTAAATTGTTTATAAACTGCAAAGGTTGGCTTCCCACAATATGCTAACAATAATGGTATTTGGGAATGACCTTGGGAAGTAGGAGGAAGAGCTGCAGACTAGGCAAATGTTATCTAAAGGGCATGTCAGCCCACAGAAAAAGGAGCATGGGAAGTGTTCCAGAAGAGGCCGTCTAGTTTTCTGGAGAATCAAAGGAATGGAAGGGGAAAATACTTTCAGATTTGCAAGTTTCTTTTAATGTAACCTTACAATGAAGATAGAGTTAATGTTGTATTTCTTGACTGGACTATATCTCAACAAGCCAACACTAATACTGACTAATCCTCTAACATGCAGCTAACCATTGAACAATGATAGATAGATAGATAGATAGATAGATAGATAGATAGATAGATAGAGTAGATAGATAGATAGATAGATAGAGTAGATAGATAGACAGAGAGAGAGAGAGACAGAGAGACAGACAGATTTTTTCCCCAAAACATCTGTCTTGGAATGGTACTTTTATGTTTTAGTTTTAAATAACTTTTTAGCTTTAGAGACACAGTTTATAGTGGTAATAATAGCAATATTAATATCCTTTTAGTTTAGGTTTTATATCTGGCCTTTTTTAAATATATATTTCTAAACAGTTTTAGTTTTGTTATCTATGCTCTTCAATTGAAATAAAGTTTGAACTAGAATCTGAAGAACTTCTCCTTGTTTTCCTCTTAATGATTCATGTCACTCTTACGTGGTTGAGGAAAACTGCCTCAGAGTGACATAGCAGAATTATCCAGAATTTTCCCTTTGCATGAATGTAAATACCATTGACCTAATGAGTTTTAGAAACATCCTTTGGTAAGTTAGGTTTCCTAACCCGCAGACCGCAAGTTTGACACCCCTGATGTAAATCATGGATGGGATAGTTATATTGACAAATATTCTTATTTGGAGATTTTTTTTTAAAAAAAGTCACAGGCAGTCTGGATGTTTGCTCTGATTTTTCCCATTTTTTTCCTAAAATCATAAAAAGAATTTAGTGTTTTCAGTTTGCATTAGATTAACTGTTGTAGGAGGAGAGTTGGGGTAATTCAGGCAAAAAATCAGAACTCTATTAGCAGCTTCTCTAACAAATTGTATTAAGATGCATAAGCTTTTGTGAGCTTCAGCTGACAAAAAAGCAGCTATGTCTTTTAATAAAATTTTAATACAGTCAAAAAAGATGCTACCAGTTTTGCTATGGAACCAGAAAAATACAGGATTATGAGTAACAGAAGAGTAATTAAAACACTTAATTTTCATTTCATTTTCATATTATAGTTAACTGTAAAATGTTTGTCTTTCCTCCTCCTTGTTCAGTGGTTATCTTTTTTCTTGTATAAGAAACATGCATGAAAGAGAGCAAGTATGCTAATAGCCAGAGTTGAATTATGGTTTGAATTAAACCTAAATGAGTTGAACTTGTGTTGCTTAGGCTAGAAATGAAATTTAGCTGCTTAGCCAAAGCTCTTCACAGAATTAAAAAGCTAATCAATTGATTTTAGCTGGATTTAGTTTTTCCGTGTAAATTAGAGACTGCATTAGAGAGGAGTGATAAAGGTACAGATGATGCTAATCCTATTATCTTTTGGCATTCCATATAATGTAATCCATTTATTTTGTCCGTGCTTAATCTGGAATCCTGCTTAGTCCATTTGAGGCCTGAAAACTGTTTCCCTTGCAGTGTAAATTGATTAGGCTTTGAGATGGCCTTTTGAATAACACAGAGTGGAAAATATACCTACCAGACTGTAATGTCTTCACAAAGCCAAGTGATAAGCTATAATAAGTTATGTACTTTGCAGTATTATATAGTTGGG